TGGTCCAATAAAAGATATCACCTCCCGCACCTTGTCTCTCCAGCCACCAGACAGACGCGCATAGTTTACATTGAACCATTGAGTTATGCCGGCATAGTGGATGTAGATGGGAGGGGAAAACATCCCCCATACAGCACAGCGGTGAGTGGGTCAGACAGCAGTCCCTTAAATACAGGTGTGAAGTGGGTCACAGGGAACTGAGGTTACCTGCTGAGCTTATCTCGGCCGGATCGCACAGACTCTGCTTTAGACGAGAAAATAAGTCCTCCAGGCTGGCGTTGCGTTCTCCTCCACTTCCGGTTCTCTGAGTGACACCATCGCTCTTCAAGGCTGATCCTTCCTCCGCTTTATTTGAGAAGCCCTGAAAAACTTCAGAACAGCATTGGTGGGAAGGATTGTTACTGCTTATTGCTTAGGAGACTCAGAGTGTGGGATGTGATAGATCAGTGACTCTGGCCTTGTCTGCAGATAGACTTGCACTGAACTAACTAAAGGCTCCAGTTAAAACTGATGTAGTTATTTCAGTTCACATCTCTGCAGGGACTCTCTTATTTCAAAACAGAAGTGGCTAAAGTCAATTAAGCTCCATTCAAGTTGGTACCAACATTAACTAAATTGACCTTAGCGACTTTCATTCCGAAATAACAGAGTCCACACAAAGTGGACAAAGTCGATTTCGTTTATGTCAGGAGCAAACTGAATGAAGCTAAATCGACTTTAGCAACTTTGAGTCTGAAATAAGAGTAAAAAAAATGAGGAGTCCTTGTGGCACCTTAGAGACTAACACATTTATTTGGGCAATAAATAAATAAATTTGTTAAACAATAAACAAATAAATGTGTTAGTCTCTTAAGGTGCCACAAGGAGTCCTTGTGTGTTTTTTTGGTTTTTTTTTGTGCTGATACAGACTAACACGGCTACCACTGAAACCTGCAATAAGAGTGTTCAGCCAGAGATTAGAACTAAAATAATTACACTGGCTTCCGAAGAGGAAAGGTGGCGCAACTGGGACTCAAGGTGGCTCAGCTTGGTTTGATTCTTTCCTCTACCGCAGACTTCGTCTTTGATAGTGTGTGCGGGTCATGACACTGCGCCAGTCACTGTGCCCATGCACCGCTACAGGCTGGGGACCGACTGGCTAAGTGGCAGTTCTGCAGAAAAGGACCTGGGGATTACAGTGGACGAGAAGCTGGATATGAGTCAGCAGTGTGCCCTTGTTTCCAAGAAGGCCAACACATATTGGGCTGTATTAGTAGGAGCATTGCCAGCAGATCGAGGGAAGTGATTATTCCCCTCTATTCAGCACTGGTGAGCCCACACCTGGAGTACTGTGTCCAGTTTTGGGCCCCCCACTACAGAAAGGATGTGGACAAATTGGAGAGAGTTCAGCGGAGGGCAACGAAAATGATTAGGGGGCTGGGACACATGACTTACGAGGAGAGGCTGAGGGAACTGGGCTTATTTAGTCTGCAGAAGAGAAAAGTGAGGAGGGATTTGATAGCAGCCTTCAACTACCTGAAGGGGGGTTCCAAAGAGGATGGAGCTCGGCTGTTCTCAGTGGTGGCAGATGACAGAATAAGGAGCAGTGGTCTCAAGTTGCAATGGGGGAGGTCTAGGTTGGATATTAGGAAACACTATTTCACTAGGAGGGTGGTGAAGCACTGGAACGGGTTACCTAGGGAGGTGGTGGAATCTCCTTCCTTAGAGGTTTTTAAGGCCCAGCTTGACAAAGCCCTGGCTGGGATGATTTAGTTGGTCTTGGTCCTGCTTTGAGCAGGGGGTTGGACTAGATGACCTCCTGAGGTCTCTTCCAACCCTTATCTTCTATGATTCTGTGATTCAGTCCCTCTAGGCCTCAGTTTCCCCTTCGAAAAACTGGGCTAGGAGCACTCTTCTAAATTAAAGTTGCTCAGTAGTGGGGAACATAGTGTCACTCTACATTCAGTTGTTATACTGGCTTAGAAACTGCCCTAGTTAAAGTGGTTCAAACTCCCCAGTGTGGATATAGTGATGCTGGTATAAAGGTGCACAGCTTATCCCTGTAGATTTACAGGGAGCTGAAAGAAAAGAGGATTGGAGAGAAAGCAGCTGGTTGAAAAATGAAAAAAAAAAAAAAACCAACATCAAAGTTAGATTTGTTCTTCAGGTTTCCAAATGAAACAATTTTTCATTTTTTGAATGTTTTCCATGAAAATGTTTCTTTTCAAATTTTTATTTTCCTCCCATTTTTTTAAATCATTTTTTCCCCTTCCCTCTTTTGCCTTTTCCCCCATTTTGCCACAGAATGCGACAAAATGAACCCTGGCCACGGTTTTCTCATTTTTCCGTTTGCCACCCCATATGTTTTCCAAAGTTGAAAAGAAACAAAAAATGCAAAACACAACAACCCCAAAACCCACCACAACCCAGGGCATTATTTGAGAGGGATTGGAAAAAGGAAAGAAAAAAGGTTAAAGAGGAAAGATGGAAAACACCAGGATAAAAATGATAAATGAAAAACGGCAGAAAAAATAATCTGAAAAATGTCATGAAAAGAATCAGCAAATGGATAAATGAAAAAGAATAAAAGGGCGGGGGGGAGAGAAAAAAAACCCAAACAACCCAAAAATGGGGAGAAAAAAGGCTATTTTTTGTTTTCAATTTCATCCATAAGTTTTTAAAGAAGGGGGAAAAAATGGGTTTGAAAAAGTCCTTTCTATATTAAAAATGTTTTGATCTGCTCTGGAGAAAGCCTCCTTCATTATAGCAGACAATGCGAGATTAATGCGTCAAGCCCACAGCTGTGCCTGGACTGTGTAACACTTTGCCCCGCTGTTGGGGATGAGGACGTATCACACAGTTCACCTGGCAGACAGACTGGATTTCCAGCTGAACAAGAAACCGCATTATTTGTGTTACAGTAGCACTCGGAGGGAGAGTGGCGCTCTGCTGTGCTAGGCAATGCAGACACAGCCTCTGCCTCAAACACCTGACAGTAAATAGACCAGACAGACAGAGGATAGGAAGGGAAGAGAGGCAGAAAGAGGGGAAATTAGATGCTCAAGATCACACAATAGAGGGGAAACTGAGGCACAGGGAGGTATCAGCATTTAACTGAACTGTGTTAACCCCACTTAACTAGTGACTGAGCTGGAAAGCTGGGGTCAGGAGAGCTCTCTATGGAGCAAAGAGTGATCGGGTAGGGGTCCTGATGCACTCTCCGTAACAGAGCAGGTGCCACTGGAAGTTAGCCCAGGAGAAGCCAAGGCTAATCAAGGTACCGCGATAGGCCCTGTTAGACTCACTGAGCCCAGAGACAGGGCACCAGACCGAGACGTTACAGAGCGCGCCGTGAGAAGCCACCACACGTAATGTGAAACAGAGAATGCAGCTGCATACACACCCGGCTGGCATGAGTGCTCACGAGAGGTGAATGGCCCCATCACGTAGGGCCGGAGCACTATCAGCCAGCCTTCCATGTCCAACTCTAACTTCCTCACCCTCATAATATTGGGGTGCCCTTATCCTATAGTTTAACCTATTAACGCCATTTAACTCATTATCCTATACGTCCCCTGTTGCTCAAGCAAGTTTGTGGTTGGACATCTGCCCACGAGTCTATCCTAAAATATCCCAGCCCATTATCACTTCAATGTTCCGTGAGGTTCCAACTCCGGCTATTGTGCAAGCTGTTCCTAGTTCCCCATTCATCCATGCCAAGCGCCACAGGCCTATACTTATGCTAACTTACTTCAGCTCAGGATATGGGCCTGTCAGTTCCTTGCGTTACTGCTGAATATAAGAAAAGACTAAGCTAGCTCTCTGGGCGACAGCCACTGCATCACACGCATGGCACGCACTCATTGTCCCTACAAAAAAATTCTCTGTTAAAATAACGTTAGGGGCTTTGATCTTTACAAACAGATGTGTCTTTACTCAAACAAGTAGCCCCATTGACTTCAATGTGGTGCATTTTGTCTACAGGAGACTCTCACAGCTGAATAAATGGCCTGGAGCGACTCACCCCAAGCACTCAGCACGGCTACCATCACCAGCAGGACGATGACCCCGGCGCACCCGACCTTCAGAACGACCCCATGCCAGCGTGGGCACTGAGGGGATTCTTGAAGATTCCCTGTTTGATTAAATGTGAGGAAATTGGGTGGTTACCTGATTATTTTGTCTTCTGAGAGCTCGCACAATGATTACACACCTGACTAACAAGGTGCTTACATAGCCCCTATTGGTTGCAGTTTCAGTTACCCCACGTAGTATCAGTTACTCTAACATCCTATAGTGTCTTTATTACTACCCCGTAGTAATGTTACTACCCCATCCCCAACCTGCTTCTTTCTCATCAACCTGTTGTCTTGTCCATTATGTCTTGTCAATCCCTCCCATTTTACAGATGAAGAAACTGAGGCAGAGAGAGATGAAGGGTAAAAGTTTTTGCAGGAGCCTAAATGGCTTTGGAGTCCAAGTCCTGTTGACTTTCAAAGCGACTTAGGAGCTTAAACCTTATTGTGGGACTTGGCTCCTACGTCACTTTGAAAATGCGATTTATTGGCATTTTTGAAAACTTTACCATAAGTGCCTTGCGCAGGTTGTACAGAGAGTCTGTGGGAGAACACAGGTCTCTTCTCAAGTCCTACTCCAGTGTCTTAGGCACAAGGCCAGCTTTCCTTCCAGAAACTACATCAAGCCGACCAACTCAATGGTCAGGTTTTTCACACCCTAAGAGCAAAACATGCATTCTCCGCCTAGATCGCTTCTATCTGAGATGCAGGAAAACAACACAGAACGAACAAACAGAGACTGTCTATGAGAGAGAAACAACAAACCTACAAGTAGCCTGCAAATAAACTGGGTGAAGTTTTCAATAGTGCCTAAGAGAGAGAGGCATCTAAATCGAATTAAAAATCAACAAGACTTTGGTCTCTAAGGACCAAATTTTTAAAGGTATTTAGGAGCCTAGTGGGATATTCAAAAGCAACTAGGTGCTTTTAAGACCCATTGAAATTAATGGGCGGCAGGAGTCCAGGTGCTTTTGAAAATTCCTTTAGGCACTTAAATAGCTTTAAAAATCCACCCCAATGTCCCTTAAGTACTTTTGTTACCCTGTATCTTTCCCAAAAGAGTTACAAGAGTCTACTGCTACTCCAAATGTCTCTTCGCACTCACCAGCTATTAGAAAACTGGGATCCCAGCTAAAATCCTCCCAATTTTGGCAGCAAACTAGGCAATCAACCCCCACTTACTGTGAGCTTTAGATGAAGGTGATAGTCTGGCCCCAGCAAGGTTTAAATCAGCATACACTACGTCCCCAGCCATGGCATGTACCGGAGGAGGCAAAAACACCCAGCCAATACTGTTGTGCAAGGACAACTGTCTATCTATGTATGAAGTAAGCCAGCCAACACACCCAACATCAGGAAGTAACGTCATTCGGGGAGGGGGGGGGCTGAATTTCTTTCCTATTGCTGCTCTGTGGTCTTCCCTCATAAATTAAGGTTGCTGGCTGAACATTCTCAACCAAGGTGAACTTTAAATGCTACAGACCCGGAGGAACTTGGGCGACTGGGGTTACAATAAACACACTGACGCGTTGGCCTGGCGTGCCCTATGCTGTGTTGGCAGAAGCAGCTCGGAATGGTCAAGAGGCAAGAAATGGATGTGGCGATAAAGTTTTCAGTGGGAATTAGCGCCAGTGGGAGCAGCCATCTTGAATCTAGACACGGCCACCTACCCTTTTCCCCCATAGAATTGGAAGCGTCAAATTCTTGCATTGGTGGGTATAGATGGAATAGCATTGGTGAATTCTCCTTTCCCCTTCTCTATGGCAATGCCCCCTGCTGCATTATGAGGTGGTGACTTTAACTTGGGATGCAAATTTCTGGTCGTAACAGCCAGAAAGTTAAATGGTCAGGTTCCCAGGACCTCCCCAATGGGTAAATGATCCGCAGCATCTCATCTGTGTATCTTAATGGCCCCATCACTATAGTATCTGAGCCCCTCATAATCATTTTATGTCCATCTGAAACAGGGCAATACTATGAGCCCTATTTCACAGCTGGGGAACTTGAGGCACAGAGACACCCAATGAGTTACCATAGCAGAGAAAGGACTTGAACACTGGTTGTCCCCGTTCCAGGCTCATGCGCTAACCACGGGTGACCACCTTTCCTCAGAACAGCTTGTCAACCTCTTGATTGATTATTGACCAGTTGGTTGCAAAAACAGACGAACAAAAAACAGAAGCTGAATTTTTCATCCATTGCAGCAAACCCAGCCTCCTCCGCTGAGCAGCAACTCAGCTACCAGCTGTGGTTTTGACCTTTTCTGGTAAGGAGATAGAAAACAGCGATAGTTTTTACACTGTTTTCCATACAAATGCTAAAACAGAGCTAAATAATCTCGGTAGGGGAATCGGCCAAATCAGATGAGATTGTTAGCCCTTTTAGCCCGAGTGGTTACCCAATATTCAAGGCCTTGCAGGTTGTTTTGGTTAAGAGAGATTGAGGAGAGCAAGGGATGTCTTTGATTCAATCCTCTGTATTTACATAGACTGTTCACGATGTCCTGTTTTCCCAGAACACAGCAAGAATCAAACAACAGGAGGAAGTTTCTTTATGCACAGTTCCAAGCCTCTTTTTGGCCCTCACTCTGCCCAAAGAGCTCTCTCACTTTGCTTGCTTTCAGGGACACATTTCAAGTCCTGCTCTTGCTGTCTGCTTCTGCATGTTCCTGCTCCCAGACACATCTCTCCATCGGCCAACACTCACCAAAACCCATCCACACACATAGCTCAGTTTCTGAGAGGCCTTGCATGTGGCCTGTGTTTTGGGTGGTGGCTCCTATTGTTTCAGCTATCTCACTCCAAGAAGAAGCTTAATTGCTTCTTACATGTATCCCGAATGGAGGGCAGCTATTGTGCCCAGCAGTTTCAATGAAGTTTCACCCAACCTCCCTCAAAACAATATCCAATGGTTGGAAGTTGAAACGTTACAAATTCAGACTGAAAATAAGGTATACAATTTTAACACTGGATCTATTTACCAAAGGGTTATGGTGGATTCTCCATCGCTGGTGATTTTTAAATCAAGAGTGGATGTTTCTTGTAAAATGCTGTAGTCAAATAGGAATTATTTTGGGGAAATCTTATGGTCTGAGAGATGCAGGACGTCAGACTAGATGCTCCTGGTAGCCCACTCTGGCCTGATAATCTAAGAATCTATAACATTTTAGATACTCAGTGTTGCCAATTCATGAATTAATTGTGCAATATTTGGTGTGTTTCTTAAAGCCCCAACTCCTGGAGTCATGTTGCCCCTCAAGAAACTCAACTCTCATTTAGGAAAAAACCCTAATTTTCTAGCCCTTATGATTGGAGAGAAAAGCTTGAAGATGTGATGCCTAAACGCTCCAACGCCAGAAGGCAAATAAACAGACCTAAACATTATTGTTTTTTAAGTCTTCCCTTCTCAGTGCCTGCTAGTTCTCGCACAAGTTATAGGCTTGATGCGGGAATGCTGGTGCGCTCGGACCCCTGCCTGTCATGCTGACCGGTAGCGTCACATTGTTTCCTTGTGTTCCCATCTGTCTGTCTGTATCCATCGGTTGTCTCTTGTCTTACATTTTGATTCTCAGCTCTTTGAGGCAGGGGCCATCTTTTTGATCTGTGTTTGTACAGCACCTAACACAACTGGCACTCCTCCACGACTGGCGGTATGTGTACACAGCAAACACAAAAACAGCGCCAGTGAGTCACAGAGCCTAGATCAACTGACTCGGGCTTGTGCGACTGGCTAAAAATAGCCGTGCAGACCGTCGGGCTCAGGACTGAATCCGGGCTCTGAGACCCCAGGTTGTTACAGCCTGAGCCCAAACACCCACACTGCTATTTTTAGCCTTGTACCTTGAGCACTGTGAACCTGGGCTCTGAGACTTACAATGGCAGGTCTCTTTTTGCAGTGTAGACATACCCTGGGGCTCCTAGGTGCTACTGTAATACACCTAGGCTACCATAATATACCTAATAATGCGCCACGCCTAGCACAATGGGGGCCTGGTCCATGACTAAAGCTCCTAGGTGCTACAGGCCAATAGATAATTAATAACATCCAGGACACAGGTGCCAACTTTGTCATTTCCTGGGGAATGCTCAACCCCAGCTCTGCCCTGGGCCCCGCCCTGGAGCACCCACGGAGTCAGTGCCTATGATCCAGGAGATCAGACTAGATGGTCATGACGGACCCTTCTGACCTTGAAATCTACAAATCTATTCAATCATTGTCTGAAACACCCCAGGCCAGCAGCAGGCTATGCCAGATCCAGGAGGCCCTCCTATCTCAGGAGCATTCAGTTCATTCACAAACACACCTTAAAGCCTAAAGAGCAGATTGCTCGTGCCTCACCGACAAAGATCGATCCATTCTTCTAGGAAGCCAAAGCCATTTCCGGTCCTGATCTTCAAGGCGCTCCGTGGCCTGGGCCCAGGATCTCCAAATGGATCTAAACCTCTGGGGTGAAAACAATGGGGGATAACTTTGGACTTCCAGCCCAATCGGACTCTAAAATAAGGGGAACGCTCACCTGTGCAGGAGACAGAACTGTCTCCAGACTGCCATGAATTCTCCCAAGAACTAAGGACCTTCCCAAGCCACCCACCTTCTGCTCCAAGGGCAAGGAGCACTTCTTTGAGCTGCCTTCTCTAAATTAAATATATGACTCCACTGCACACACATTTCCCCCTAAGGACAGGGTGAGAGAACAAACGTGTGACGGATGTTAGTCATGTTGCTTAATGCACGACTGGAAGGGGCTCAGATGCTGTGGTGGTGAGCAGGGTATAAGAACCTATATGGAATAGAACTAGTCCCACGTATTGCTGAAACCCATGGTCCCCCCACGCCCTCAGATGCATGTGAACTGGCCGATTTTGTTTTAAGCAGGAGGGATTTTTTTTTAGAGCAGGCCCGAATTCTCCGGCTTCAGGCCTGTTTGTCTAATGGAAAATCTGCACCGCAGAAGCCGCTGAGGTGATGAGATGCAGCAGTGACCAGCAACTGACTCTTTTCCTGTGTGATCTCAAACCATTGTCGTTCTGCCTGTTTGCAAAAAGTGTCAAAAAAGTGCTCTGGTTTCAGAACCACCTTGCAAAGGGCCCCCTGCACTCTGCGTCCTCTTGGTAAACAGAACCATTGCGGTATAGGCCATAGGCGCTGACTTCATGGGTGCTCTGATAAAATAGTGGTTGCTTAGCACCCTCCAGCAGCCCCACAGATCAGTGCCCCCCCCCCCCCCAGCGCCTCCCACCTGCCTTGGATCAGCTGTTCAGTGGTGTTCAGGAGGTGCTGAAGGGGGAGGAGCAGGGGCAGGAAGATGCAGGGGGAGGGGGAAGAAAGAGGCGGGGCAGGGGTGGGAAGGGGTGGGAAGAGGTGGGGCAGGGTGGGGGCTTGGCGGAAGGGGTGGAGTGGGTGCGGGGCCTGGGGCAGAGCGGGGGTCGAGCACCCCCTGGGATCTGAGTAAGTCGGCACTTATGGTATAGGCCATGGATGTTGTTGTGGGAGGGAAATCTACATAGGGCCCCAGGATGGGACAACGAGTGAGAAAGAAGGGTGGGAGGGCTGGATCAGAGGAGATGCGAGAGATAACTGGATGACCCATTGGGGATTATTAAGACCTAGGAACTACGGGCCCAAGATTAGGGCCCCAGCTTCTGGAGTCATGTGATTACAGCAGAATCTCAGACTTCATTTTTTTTAAAGCAGATCTCGAACTCTCATGGTTGGGAAGAAAAGCTTGGAAAGGTGGCCTGAGACATGTCTGCCTGAGTCTGCAAGAGCCTGAGATAATTGCTCTGAGAGGGAGGTACTGCCCCAAGTGTAACCAACACTGCAATGTCTGCCTCAACCCGCAGAGAGCCTGAGCCAATCACTCTGAGAGGGAGAAGTGCCTCCAGTGTAACTGATGCAGGGATACCCGCCTGAGTTTGCAAAGAGTCTGAACCAATCGCTCTGAAGCAGGAACTGCCTGGCCCCTGATGCAACTGATGCAGTGACCTAGTGAAATAAACAGGTTCTGTGGAAATAGATTGTGGGCTTGGGCTATTTTTCACTTGTTCTTTTTCACTGACAAGGCTGGGGTTACATTTATTTTTTTTATCTGCCTTATAATCGTCCTGCATCTGAAAGAGCTGAGATCTCCAGCCTCATATTCATATGTCCATAGGACTATATCGCCTGAGCCAGATTCTCAGCCCCCTAGATGGCCCCTTTGTGCCACTGCAACAGCGCAAAGGGTCCATCAAGTTGCCCTCACTGTGCAGCTGAGGAAACCTTCTTGTGGGGGAGCCAGTGGCTGGCATAGAGGAAGAATGGTCCGGTAATAAAGTTGTTAGTGTAGAACTTCAGGAACCGGTGTTCAGTTCCCTGCTCTGACACATGCTTCCTGTGGAATCTTGGGCAAGCCACTTAGCTTCTCTGTGTCTCCGTTCCCAATCTGTAAAATGGAGATAATGGCATCATCTTACATCACAGGGATGTTGCAAGGAGACATACAATAGAGACTGTGAGATACTCCTAACAGTGCCATAGGCAGAGCTGGCATAGATGTCTCTATATTCCCCTTGACATTGAGGGTGATCCTGGGCAGGGGAGATGTGGCCCGAGAGATGCTGCATCTGGTGAACCCCAGCTGATATAATGGCGCCTTGGACCACAGTCACTACCTGGTTTGAGGCTTTACCTGAACATAAGAACGGCCAGACTGGGTCAGACCCAAGGTCCATCCAGCCCAGTATCCTGTCTTCTGACAGTGGCCAATGCCAGGTGCCCCAGAGGGAATGAACAGAACAGGGAATCATCAAGTGATCCATCCCTTGTCGCTCATTCCCAGCTTCTGGCAAACAGAGGCTAGGGACACCATTCCTGCCTCTCCTGGCTAATAACCATTGATGGACCTATCCTCCATGAACTTATCTAGTTCTTTTTTGAACCCTGTTATAGTCTTGGCCTTCACAACATCCTCTGGCAAGGAGTTCCACGGGTTAACAGTGCGTTGTGTGAAGAAATATGTCCTTTTGTTTGTTTTAAACCTGCTGCCCATTAATTTCATTGGGTGACCCCTGGTTCCTGTACTCGAGAAACACCCTGATTA